CCTCTTGGTGTGTGGTGCGAGATGGGAGATGTAGTTAATTGAGCGGTTTCACACAAAAGAGTGTTACTTCACAGTTTTAGGACACATTTTTATTTTTTTGACTTGCAAAATTATCTTTTAAATTGACAAACATCATATGTGTAATTCGTGGCACAATTCAAACGGGATCGAACGATAACCTTTCCCTCGCCATTGACTTCAATACATACTTTTTCCTAAATAAGGTCCCATGGAGCTCCCCCGGAAAGGGAGGGACTTCGCCTCTCTATAGGTTTAGCTGGGGAGTGACGTGTCCGATCACTGATTGAGAGGAGAGAGAGTAGTAAGCTGGGAATATGTGAACGAATGACTAAAGACTGTCTTCAAAGCTTCATTTGTTCTCCTCTTAACGCTCGTTATCTTTCCCCCGTCAGACGGAACTGCATCCTGGCCGACGAGATGGGCCTGGGAAAGACCATCCAGTCCATCACATTCCTGGAGGAGATCTGCCGTGTGGGCATTAAAGGGCCATTCCTCATCATCGCTCCGCTCTCCACCATCGCTAACTGGGAGCGCGAGTTTCGTACTTGGACCTATCTCAACGTCATCGTTTACCACGGGAGCATGGTCAGCAGGCAGATGCTGCAGCAGTACGAGATGTATTCCAGGGACGCTCAGGTAAACGGACAGATCCTTTTGGTGCTCGTTCAAGTTCACTAAGCCTGAATACTAGTATTACATACGTTCAATTAACTGTCTGGAAAACACCAAATAAAAACATTGGTTGCATTTAAGGGGGCCTATTATGCTCATTGTCAGGTTTATACTTGTATTGTGTGTCTCTACTGGGACATGTCTCCACGCTCTAATGTTCAAAAAGCTATTTTTATTTCTGTCATACTGCCTGTGCTGCAGCATTTATTTTCAGCGCTAGCCAATAGAAGTGTTGCGTAGTGATGTCACTATGGCCCATAAGTACACAGGAGACCAATGGAGGCATTTCAGGGAGGAGGAGGAGGAGGAGGAGTGTGTGGGAGAGAAATCCCCTCTGGAAGGAAACTGAGATTGTAGCCTTTGTATTTAACACACTACAGGAAAGGGAAAACTCCCAAAAAGCATAATAGGTAGCACGGCCACTGAATCAAAAACACACGAGACAGTTGCTCTCCAAAGCAGACAGTCAATTACATGCAATCCGTATTAATTTCAACTGTGTAAAAGTGTAAGGGGCCAACATTGAAAGTCATAATCTGTGATACTGATTCCTTGAGAATGTAATTTTCATGATCCACAATTTTATTTGTAAAATGCAAACCTTTTCAAAACATTAAATACATCTTAGATTTGCAAACTATTTCCATTGTGTGTTTTAGTCAAGAACACTGCTTTCCTTCAAAGTGTTGTTTGTGTGTTCTGGCTCCACGTGGGTTGCTTTGGCCTTGAGGAGCAGGGAATGAATCAACCCGGGCCTTCCTAACACAAATAGAATTGTGAAGAGTGATGTGCCTTTTTATTTTGTCCTGACATACCTCTCCTTTTTAAAGAGAGACGAGGAAAAAGCAACGTCACTGTGATTACCTTCAGACTGGAACGCAGTGATTCACTTCGATTAAAAATAATCACAGTGCCTTTTAGAAAACAGCAGCTGCACTGTGTCGGCAGCATGACGTCCTGAGAGCAATCTAATGATGTGTTTGGAAACAGGAGGCCTGAATAAAACAAAAGGGAGACGGATATTGAAAAGCCGGGTGGAACGTGATTACCGTATGTAACACGAAACCACAAACATTGGGACTCGGTAACTAATGCAGCAATCCCACTTACCACAATGTTTCCAGGCAAATATCACCTGTAGAAGGAAGGAGGGAGGCGGCAGCTGGAGGATAGTGAATATCTCAGGAAAATGTTGAAGAAATAACATAAATATCTTATTTGAGACTTTGTTAAAAGTTCAGGTAGGTCGGCAGGATCTGGGAACAATAACTAGGTGTCATTATTTCAACTGACATTGTGATATGATTCATGATCGCTTCCACGCTATTCAAAAATATATTTAATGATCCAGGTGTGATATTTATTAGGGATGCCAGAAACTGACCATGATCAAAATCGGAGAGCCCTGGCGAATAATAATCGATTATTCGACGCCCTCCGCCCACGGTTGGTTGAAACTAAGCCGAAAAAAAAAAAAAAACATAGATAATAATAAAAAGATATATAAATAAAATCGAATTTTAAAAATAATTTTCGATTATGGAGACTGTAACGAATAATCTCCTGGCATCCCTAATATTTATTCACCCGGTCAATTAAGATTTGTTATACTTGCAGGGACTTCTCTACAGCATCACAAATCCTCATTCAAAATCATATTTACGTATATATTTGTCCTTCCTTACCAAATATTGCACAAACTGCGATTTGGAAATGTTCAATATGGCCATTTCAAAAAGACGTGGAGCTTTAATTGTGCAACTCGTAGTTTCAAATGTTAGATAATTCAATGTAGCCAATGATATCTTGCGTTGTAAGAGAGTAAGAGAACATTTTCCTAATTAAGCGGTTCTAACGAAGCGTAAAACAGTGTTAAAGAAAGGGCACGGTCCCGACAGTGAGGGGGCTGCTAGGTAGTTAGTGAGCCTTGGGCAGAGGCTTTCTGTGGTTGGCAGGCCATGTGATGTGTCACAACAGGCAGCGAGATGCTCTCAGTTTTCAAACGATCCGTGGTAGGAATGAAGGCAAAAGAGAGCAGGAGACAGCGCAGCCGCCACCAGGCTGTCTCCCAGCAGCCTGTGATGTCACCGCAGCCCCGAGGGGAGCTCTGTCAGCGGCGCTCAGGCGTTTCGCGGAGAGAGGCGGCTCTACAGCAGGCTGTGGGAGGGCCTTATTGGATAACTGAGTATCCCTCGAGGACTGTTGTCAAGGCAATCGTTACAAATGGAGAGGCGGGGTGAAAAGAAAGCCTCCCCAGAAGGACAAACAAACAGATAAACAAACAGCAAAAAGACTCTCAAGCAGGTGTGCACTCGTGTTAGATGGGAGATAGCTTCACAATCAAGAGGTGTGTGGTAGTAAAGTAAGCCATGTGTTTGCTGTCAACAGCACCAGGCTGCAAATGAGTTGGTTTCCGATGTTAACTGTTAGCGGTTACATGCTCATTATATTCTCTCTGAAAACAGCTTTTTTTAATGACCGCACACATTCAGCATCATTCTAATGTGTAATACTATGAAGCAAATCAAACGTGCTTTAACACACTTCCACTTGTACTACATAATAATGCTGGATCAACCAATTTGACACATTTTCCTGCATCTCTGTTAAAGGGCCGTGTGATGCGAGGGGCCTACAAGTTCCAGGCGGTGATCACCACGTTCGAGATGATCCTGGGAGGCTGTCCCATTCTCAACGCCATCGACTGGCGCTGTGTTATCATCGACGAAGCCCACCGCCTCAAGAACAAGAACTGCAAGCTGCTAGAGGGCTTCAAGCTCATGAACCTGGTACATAACACACACAGTTAGAAGTTTGATATGTGTGCATTGTTAAAGCTCTCGTTTGAAAACTAATACCACCTATATTGACTCAAGACTTTGAATCAAGTTCTCTAAAGTATAATGTGTCCAATTATCAAATGTTACATTCTCATTTTGTGTGTCTTGTTCTCTTTCAGGAGCACAAAGCCCTGCTGACCGGTACTCCTCTCCAGAACACTGTGGAAGAACTTTTCAGCCTGCTCCACTTCCTGGAGCCGGCACGCTTCCCCTCAGAAGTCCCTTTCATGCAGGAGTTTGGAGACCTGAAGACTGAAGAGCAGGTGAGCCCACAGATACATGAAGAATATGTCAATATGCAAATATTCCGTAAGTCAGAAATCCACATGTCAATGAATCAGTTCAGATGTGGTCTGGGCTTCTGGTGCTATTTGTAGTCCTCTACAAGGAAACGCCACAGACACATTATTGTCTGTTAGAGCCCCACTAAACACAGCTTCAAACACCCTATTGGTTACAGATGGAACCACCACATTAACCAACTAGGCCACAGTGACATGTTGGATAACTGTTACAAAGCAAATGATCGATTTAGCTACTGATTATTGGACTCTGTGTTGACACAAGATAAAAGCGTTTTTACCTTTTTACTTTTACACTTTGCTGGTTGGCATTTCATTTTTAGGCCGAATCCCTAAAGAGATGCTCGAGGAAAGCATTCAATCATGTTTGAAGTGTTGTGCTCTTAATGAAAGTAAACATTTTTGGAACAGCTAGTACTCAGCAGGCGAGGATAAATAGAAGCTCTTTGTACCGGTGGAAATGTGAAAGCGTTTTTCTAGAAAGCGGGTATCTTTCCTAAAAACGGTGATAGTCAAGGGCCTGAATGTGTGATACAAAAAGAGGGAAGCTGGCCCACTCACCGGGGTCGAGTAGTTACGAAGCTGTGAAGCTGCTGTGAGCACAAAAGATTAGAAACCAAAATAAAATCACTGGTTTTAAAACCTAATATATTAATATTAAATAAAAGCCATTTTAATACTTAATAACTCGACTGCTATATATAAATCAAATACAGAATATGACATCATTAGGCTGTAATCAAAAGTGGTGCTAGCTTACATAGCCTTCTCCCTATTTAGTTCATGTGTTTTGATGTTATTTGAATGTTTCTAACATCTGCACTCATCAGTCATTTAACACGTATTTCCATATTTGAAGTCTGATTATGCATTATGATCACATTTTGAATACAATTATTCAAAACAACAAATGTAGTCTTAACTAGGGAATGGAAAAGTCACTGGAGCTTGCACACATTTTCTGTAATGACATGTATGACACTGGTGTTCATAGTTTTAATCAGACCCAGCTCAGCATGTGTAACCCAACTCATCTGTAGATCACAATATCTTCCATCAGTTACAGAATAATAATATTAATAATAATAGATTACATTTGTATAGCGCCTTTCAAGGGACCCAAGGCTGCTTTACATGGTGAACAAACAAACAAACAAACAAACAAAAGGGGCAAATAATGAGTAGGAGTGGAAGCAGGGGGACTGATGGGTTAGGGGTCAAAGGCCATGGTGAACAGGTGAGTTTTTAATGATGACTTGAAGATGTCCAGGGAAGCAGCATTGCAGAACATGATATAACTCTCTGCTCCTCGTGGGGCCCACAGGTCCAGAAGCTGCAGGCCATCCTGAAGCCCATGATGCTGCGCCGGCTGAAGGAGGACGTGGAGAAGAAGCTGGCTCCTAAAGAGGAAACCATCATCGAGGTGGAGCTCACCAACATTCAGAAGAAATACTACCGCGCTATCCTCGAGAAGAACTTCACCTTCCTGGCTAAAGGAGCCGGCCAGGCCAATATGCCCAACCTGGTGAACACCATGATGGAGCTGAGGAAGTGCTGCAACCACCCCTACCTCATCAAAGGTAGGATGAAGTGGAATATAGGTTCATTTAGCTCAAATGTACAATCGTGGCCTTGGACTGTTATTACTCAGTTTCCTGTTTAGTCTTCAGGAGGTGTGTTTTGATTACACAAGTGATTGTTACATCAGACAAAAACAAACATATGATTATTTCAACGTATTTTGGGTTTTGAGCATATGCACTGGATCTGTCGTGTTTTTGTGTTCTTTCCTGCTATCACAATGTAACTTAGGGTCATTTCTGCTTTGGGGTTAGGGTTCTGGATAATATTCATGAAATTGTACTTTATAGGTTGCACAAGCGTCTAAAATGTGATATTTAGAAATACTCTCAAATACGCTTTCCCCTTTTTTGTACTCTCAAAAAAGGGGAAAGCGCTGAAGTTGTCATTTGTCCATGGAAATAAAATCTTGTTTAAAAAAAGCAATAAATCCACACTATTGCTGACGTCCCCGTGTCTTTGCTTCTTCAGGGGCAGAAGAGAAGATCATGGAGGACTTCAGGGAGGTGTACAGCCCCAATGCCTTCGACTTCCACCTGCAGGCGATGGTACAGTCTGCCGGGAAGCTGGTCCTCATCGACAAACTGCTGCCCAAGATGAAGGCCGGGGGCCACAGGGTGCTCATCTTCTCTCAGATGGTGCGCTGCCTGGACATCTTGGAAGACTACCTCATTCAGAGAAGGTACAGGGAACAGATGATGATGATGATGATGATGTTTTTTTTTCATATGGTTCAGATTTGAAAATGACTACGCACGTCTGAAAAAGTGAATTTTTGTAATCTCTTTTAGGGCTGTGCAATTAATCGTATTTTAATCTCGATTACGAATTTTGGCTTGCAACGATTACGAAAACAACGTAATAAATAAAACGATTTTTTTTTTTTTTTTTTTTTTTTATTGGTTTTTCTGTTTAATTATTCTTAAAGTTCAGGGTAATCAACTGTTCAAAACATATTGTTCAAAATTATTTTTTCAATAATGTTTTCAAAGTAAATGGATAATCGTTTTTAATAATCGTGATATCAATTATTGACCCAAATAATCGTGATTATGATTTTTGCCATAATCGCACAGCCCTAATCTCTTTAAGACGATTCCAAGGTATTTCAAAAAATATCATGCATTGAGGTTAAGAAAAATCAGCCATAACAAGTTAGCTTATATTTAATCAAACAGCATGCAAATAAAATGCTATAATGATATTAGTTCTGGAAAAAACACTTTTGCACTGTGATGTCATAATAATCAACTTATTTGTTGCACAGGTTCTTTCTTGATTAGCGCTACTGCTCAACATCTTTAAAGTCACTCTTACCCTCTTGCTCTATTAGATTCAGAATGGTTTCAAGGAAGCACCAGATCTTGTGCACATGGCAGGCAGGACTTATTGTGACACTCTGTAGTTGCTCCACACGTTGGAGAGGATGTTCTGAATACTATGGCTGCAAATGGTTAGGGACACTATGTGTATAATGGTTTGTTTTTAGCATGTGATACATGACAGCCAAATGGCAGTGAGAGAAGTTGGCAGCAGCTTAGTGTTTGATCACATCTAATGAGTGAAATCAACACACACATTCACCCATTTATCTATCCGTTTTTGCAGCCATTTATCTGGGTGAGGTCCAAAAGGGGCTGGAACATATTTTATAACCAGGGTTCTTACGGTCATTGAAAACCTGGAAAAGTCATGGAAATTCCAAATCCTAATTCCAGGCCCTGGAAAAGTTATGGAAAACAATAGTTTCCCCAAAGTTTTGAAAAAGTCATGGAAATGTAACTAAAGTTGCATCAAATATAATTTATATTCGATCTAATCGCCAAAATAGTAATACTATAATGATAATAAGTACTGTATAGCAATGAAACGTAAAATGGCATTTAACTGACGAGGTATTTTGCTGGTGAGAGATTTGAGTTGCTTTAGCGTGTAGAAGCTAGTCAGCCTACTATTTGATTTGTTTTAGATAGGCTCAACATGTTTCATATGCAGACCTTATTTTCCTGTTCCATGTTAAAATAAACCATTTTCAGTGGTACCGCTGAGAAAGAGTAATTTTTTTGGTCATGGAAAATTAGGTAAAGGTCCTGGAGAAGTCATGGAAAATCATTGGTGAAAAAGTGTATGAACCCTGTATAACATACACACTGCCTTATACTAACAAATCCACCACAGGTATGAGTGTGATTATTTGTGTCCAGTTCACATCAGATGAGTACCTTTTGGACTTTTGGATCTAATTGGAAATGTACCTTCCCTCCTATAGAACAGTATTGGGGGTGGTCTTTTATTTGTCTCTTCCTACACCAGGAGGACAGAGAGATCATGCAATTTCACACATTTCTGCCAAGAATTAAAATGAAATCCTGTCAAACGCCTCAGCTCCATGAGTCATATCATTAGTCTTTCATTAGGAAAATGGTTCTGTTGTCTATTCAAATTGCACTGTATGGAATCTAGACCTGTAATTAGAGTGAATTAAGTGAAAAGAAAGGAGCACTTGTCTCCCACCCACAGAGCACAGTGGCAGCTGATAAAGATGATGGGCAAGAGATTGGATTGATAGCACGGCTATGAAGCTCTAACCTAAGGCTCTGCCAAAGTACAACATTACGTGTGTGTGTGTGTGTGTGTGTGTGTGTGTGTGTGTGTGTGTGTGTGTGTGTGTGTGTGTGTGTGTGTGTGTGTGTTCCCTCTGCCCTGCCCTTAATCTGCTGGGGGTATCTCTGTTTACACCCTCCCATGCTCCTGCAGACTTTGCCGCTTTGACATAACGGAGGGTGGTTANATGGAAAACAAGATCGAAAGGAGGACTCCATTTCCTGCTTTCGTACAGGAACGACACACACACACACACACACACACACACACACACACACACACACACACACACCCATACCTCAGTATAAAAGACTAACTACGTTACATAAGTGTTTTGGGATACGTTATAATCTGAAAACTGGTAATAAAATGCAGTGGGACATGCAGCTCTTATCTATAAAACGTCATGTGATTTTTTTAATTATGAAGATTCATCTACCATGATTAACTGTTGGAAAAGCTGTCATGGTCCCTGATTCAGAAAGACAGTTACTGCTGGCACCTACCTTTCTCTTATAGTGGAGTAAAGTCCTTGCCAGTTACAGTTCTGTATGGTGGTGTTGTTGTTGTTGAGGTTCTGCTGTTGGTACTGTTGCACTGTGGTGGTGCAAGCCGGCTTTTTGGTGGGAAAAATATCCGCTGCCATCTTCTTCTTCTTCTTGCTCCTCAGAGTGATTATCTCATAACAGACAGGGGGCAGCTTGGAGCTGCTACTGGCATTCCCTTTCTTGGAGCTTTTACTTGATTTGCTTTTCACTGACTCGGGGAGCATTAAGAAGAAAGTCAGACATTTCATGTTCCTTCCCTTGGCATCGACCATGAGTGTGTTCAACTGCCGAGCAGTGGGATAGCATGCAGAGAAGACATTCACCAGGAACAGGCAGGTGTAGGGGGAAACAGAGGGGGACCTGAGCTGTACTCAGCAGCGTAGTTATCAGAGTTCCTGTGCGAGCTTTCACCTTTCAGGAACTATAAGACAACTCTCTTGTTTGCCTCTTTTCTTCACTCCTCTGAAGAGGCTGGTGATCCGAAGGCGCTTCTCCTGTGTGAAGTGTGATCTGCTGACGGAAAAGCTCTTAGGGTTCCCATCCCTGCTTGTCCAGAGTGATGAGATCTGCTCTTTAAATCACTTCTTTTTCTCCTCTGCTCCCGTGTCTCTCTCACTCACTGATGGTTGGCCTGACAGCCCCAGATTTAGTACAGCTGCAGTGGTCCTCAGGTAGGCAGCGGTGTTTACTCAATTCCTTTCATTTCCCACTCTTACTCCTTGTGTGCTTCTCTTTTTCTTTTAGTCTGTCTTCTGCTGTGGATCCACCTTTTTTCTATCAGACACTCTCTCTCCTCCACGGAGCCTTCTGCAGGATGCTGTAGCGGTGGATGCTGTGCAGCTCTGCTCAGCCACTCGTTCTGCTGACTACAGAGGTTGAATGGGAGAGCGCAGAGGAGATGGAGAGCCCCCTCCCTGCCCCTCACAGCACAGCGCACAGCTCTCTCCATAGCTCAGCCAATGGGAGCACATAGCATTCATGATTGGCTAATGCAGCCTAGTGCAGCACAGACTTGAATATGCAATAGTCAAAGTCTCAATTAAAGTGACAGCCATGCACCATAAGAATGATATATTTATCTCCAGGTTTGCTTCTTGTGTTTGTTTTACCTGGAGCCACAGCAGTCACTTTGCACTACAGTACTCCATGTTTTGTTTTAAAAGGGCAATGCAAATGGACGCGCTCTTTTTAAGGGCAGAATTTGCTTAATTCATGCATCCTTTGACAATCGATCTTCTTTAATGAGCTTTTTCATTTTTGTTTACAGAAACAGTTTTGCATTACATTGGTCTTTGATGCTTTGATTAGATTTATGACTTCTGAACAGTTTGCCAGTGCAAATACTTTAGTTATAAGTCCTCATAAAATGTAAAAACAACATATTCATTTCTTAAACAAGCTTTTCTTGTACTACCAGGATGTGATAATGTAGCATATTGCAGTGAGCTCGTTATCCTGTACCTCTAAATATTTATATTTGAATTAATGTCACATATTTGCATTTTAAATATGTGCAATAGCTGTGAAATACTGTAGCGTAGACTTTCTCTTGAAAAGCTAACTGCTTCTCTTTCCCAACTAGGAATATGTGCTTGTGCTTTAGTTTTCTTGTTAAGTCATCTCTTCAAGAGAGTACATGGGGATAGAAATGTAATGCACTCTTTGCACAATGTATAATGCATACAGTTCTTTGCTCGTCTTGTCGAATTGGGCCTGTGCACAATGGGGATTCTATTTAAAGCGCACGGATGATTTAGCTTTTTAGTGATGGTGGTTTAAAAGGTTATGCAATCCTGTCATACTTGATATAATAATACCCAATATATATATTTTTTTTTTTCTTAGAGCACTTTGTTAATTCCACTGCAATGGTTTCCTTGTTAATACTATTGTGTAAAGTAGCACTAATACTACTTTTAATACTAGTTAGTTTGCACATTATATCTCATAATATATTAAGGGTGAAATTACACCGACAAAAAGAGCCGAATGAGGTGAATACATTTAATAGGGAATGTCTTCCTTGAACCACTGTCACAATATAGATTTGTCCATAAACCTTGATTAGCTGTATAAGTGTGTGCTGGCTGAGGAGCGTAGTCCACTAAGCTCCTTTATACAGTACAGTGTGTGCTGGAGAACAGAGACATTTGCTATGGTAACATGCAGCCAACATTACAGGGCACCATACTCTCAAATTGCAGGCCACTAGAGATGTTACCTAGGTAACCACATCCACACGCAACAGCAGGACAGAAATGTAGCATAAAAACAATCATGACAGTAAAACAAAAGTATAATACAATATTGTACCATGAATCTATTGGCTTTAGAAGAAACCATATAAATAAATGTGTGCTTTGATTTTATTCTACAACAATCCATTGCCATTAATAACACCAACATTATAATGTTTAACAAGCAAACGTCCTAACTGTTGCCAGAATACACAGTTTTGTGATTTATCTGAAATATGTGTCTAGCAGCATATATGATAAACAGGATGTCATTCTATATCACCCTGAATGGCTTCC